TTTCCATTTTTCGTTTTTTATTATTCATTGTATGAAAAAACTTTTTCTAAATGTATAGGTTGAAATTTAAATTTAGTTTGATTTTAACGTTTTAATTTATGTCTTTTACCGTAAGTTGTAAGATAAAGTTTTTTTTCTTGTAATTATCAATCTTTTGTTTAAATGTACGCAGTTGCTCTTTAGGGATTTGTGATTACTAATTATTCGCCTTTTTTTTTGGTTTTATGCGTTAATATTTTTTTTTTTTAATAAAATTGTAAGTAGTCGTATAATATTTATAGTTACGATTTTATAACATTTATGTTAGAATTTAACAATGTGTCAAAAAAAAAAAGTCAAAATAATTTTTTTTTGCTTATACACTCTTTTTCTGGTTATAAAATTTATCCATAAACTTTCGCAAATCCAAAATAATAATAAGAATTACAAAATATGACTGAAAAATGATTTAAAATGTTTCAAAACTGCACCAAAACATTTAGTGTATGAGCACTTATTGTGTCTACTCGTATAGTGCGCAGTCAATGAGTATACACATTTTTGTTAAAGCCCGGGCTAATTAGAGAAAGTGAGGGCTCATCACTTTCATCATCATCATCACGTAAAAAGCATTACATGAAGTTAAGAAGTCGTTCTATGCAGTTTAGAACTGGTATTTATATTTAAAGTTATATTTGCAAATGCATGATGTAAAAATTGTAGGTGATTTTAAAAAGATTTCTTATTTTAATTTTAAGTAATAAAATCTTTTTAGTGTAGAACTTGGGTCACACTAAAAATCTCATTGTAATATCAACAGTTTTTTTAGTGTAGAACTTGGGGCACACTAAAAATCTTATTGCAATATCAACAGTTTATGGTATTGGTTTCTAGAAGATAAATAAAGAAATTGCTAATGAGTGTATGATTTTACGGGTATAATTTTTTTGAAGATCTTTTTTTTTTGACGCGTGTTTTTTTTCGCGATCCTTAAGATAGAGTCTTACTTTGTAATTTTTAAATTTTAAATAAGAATAGAGACAAAAAAACACATAGTAAGTCAGGTTGCCTCGATCATGTGACCTGGTGAGAAATTTATGAATTTTACATTTTAATTTTTTTACTAGTTTTTCTACTTGCAAACTAAAAGCCCGAAAGATGTTACCAACTATTGGCTACTTTGAGCACAGTTAAGTTCTAAAAAGCAAGGTACGCGTAATTTTAGAACTCACTTTGTTTTATTTCTACTTTTTAAATTGTTTTATTGTGATTAATTGTTTTAACTCCCAAAGGACCAATCAACTAAGATTACGTTAAACGTGCGGTGAACGGACGTGTTTAACTACAAATAAGAAGTTTTTATTAAAGGGTCGAGTAAAAATAAAATTTAATTAAAATATTAATTGCAAACATGGTAAATGTTCAATCAACATTTACAATGTTTGAGTTTAATGTATATAAAGCAGATCAAGATAAATTAATAAAATCACTAATCAAAACAATCGACGAGTTGAAAAATTGCAATTTACTTCTAACCGAGAGACTAATTGTTCTAGAGAAAGCTAAAGTTGTAGCTTCCACGTCTATATCGTGGGCTAGTGTTGTTAGTGGAAATACGCCACCGTAAAGGTCAACCGAACAACTTCATTTAATGAACGCTGTTGTTGCCGAGGCAAAAGAAAGAGAAAAACGGGAAAGTAACGTTATAGTGTTTGGTATCGAAGCCTCTAAAAAAGCAGATATATCAAGCGCTAGAGAAGAAGATAAAAATTCTATTCTCCACATAATAAACTCTATTAATGCAAAGATCGAAATTAAACGAATATATAATTTAAATCAAAATTAAAATCAAAATCCGACAAAGAATCACCTTTAGTTATTGTTCTTAACAACTAAAATGAAAAATTCCATTCTAAAAGCTGCAAAAAGTTTAAAAAATTCAACCGAGTTTAATAAAGTGTTTATCAATCCTGATTTAACTGTGGCTGAGCGATACACAGCAAAGTTATTACGCAAGGAGTGCAAACAAAAAAATTTTGAAAATTCGGAACTCTTACTTTTTTATTATGGCATACGAAACAAAAAAAGTCATAAAAATTAACAAATAGTAGGGGAGGTCCAAAATGCTATATTTCTTGTTTAACCAGTTTTCTTAATTAATTTTTTGAGAAAAGTTTAAAAAACGATTCAATTTTTTACTAATTTTTTATGGTTGATCTTCTACTTCTATTTTAAAAATTTAAAGATATAAAAAATAAAAGTCTTTGCAAAAGTTTCTTTGCGTATAAAGTTACGCAACTTTTCTTTCAAATTTATGCTATTCAAATTTTGATTGGATAAATTCGTTGCGTTTTAGAAAAAAAAAGTTTAATCTGAAGTCTTTTTCGAAAAAAACCTTTTAAATAAGTAAAACGACAGATTGCTTCAAAAAAAAAGTTTTATCTGAAGTCTCTTTCTAAACAAAACGTTTTAAGTAATCAAAAAGACAGATTGCTTCGAAATATCTTAATTTCCTTTTTTTTACTTATTTTTAATCGTTATTCAAGCTATCAAGAAGGCTATTTTTTTTTTTTTTTGAAATTTATTTCGTCACTATATATTTTACATACATACATTTATAAATAAGATAAAAAATTAAAATAATGACAGGAGCAAGTAGAAGACTGAAGTCTTATCATCAAGCCCCTTTTAATTGCGACTCTGCAATAAGTTTCACGTGAGCTTAACGTGACATTTAAAATTCATAAGAAGAAATAAAGCAAATACATAGCCTTGTACGTAAAAAACAAAGCTTTGTACGTAAGGATCTAATAGACGAGTATAGCAAAGAAAAACTATTTGTATTGTGATATAATCATCGTTTGTGGTCATCCAAAAGGAATAAGTTTGTTTTAGTTATTATTAATTTGATCTCTAAAAGTAGGAGAGTATGTTGACGTCACTTAAGTTAAATAGGTGCTTTTTGACAGCTGCTTTGAAGAGATTTGATGACTTCATGTTTTTTATTTCTTCTTTAAGGATCGAATTCCATAGCCGCGGTCCTCGAGATAAGATAGAGAAATCAGTTATTTTAAATAAAGTTTTTGGAATGTTAAAGTTTTGAAAAGAGTACTTTGTTAGGTATTTGTGATCAATGGTGGAAAACTGATTTTCAAAGTATTTTGGTAGCAAATTGCTTTGCGATTGAAACATAAATAATACATTTTGGAAAAGGTTCAGTTCATAAACATTTAGAGCTCCAATTTCCCTGAATAATGGTTTGGTATGGGTATATCTGTTAGATTTGCATACAATTCGACACGCTTGCTTTTGTTTTACATATATCTTTTTTAGTACTGAAGAGTATGTGCTTGCCCAAACGATATTGCAATAGTTGATATAACTGTGAATGAACGAATAATATATATTTTTTAAGCAAGTTTTATTTAGAAGGTGTTTTATTTTATTTGACTTGGAGATTTTATTTTCGATGTGCAAAATATGATTCTTCCAACTAAGATTTTCTTGAAAAATTATTCCCAGGATTTTCATCGAATGGTCTCTTTCTATATTAATGCTATTGATCATAAGCTGGGGAAGCTGAAGTGGTAAATTAACAGAATTAGATGACTTGTGAAATAAAACATATTTGGTTTTGAGGATGTTTAAGGAAAGTTTATTAGCTTTAAACCACTCGTTTAAGTTTTGCAGCTCGTGATTAACTGTAGAAAATTTTGTTTTTATATTTGAGTGAGTAAAAAAAATATTGGTATCATCTGCAAAAAGAGTAAAATTAAGAATGTTTGAAGTTAAGTTAATATCGTTCACATAAATTAAAAATAGTAAAGGTCCAAGAATGGAGCCTTGAAGTACACCACAACTTATTGTTTGTAACCGTGTACATACTGTGTTGTACGACACTCCTTGTTTCCTGTTATTTAAGTCATTTCTGAACCATCTTAGATTGTTGCCTGTTACTCCATACATCTCTAGTTTGTGCAGGAGGATCTCGTGGTCAACTGTATCGAATGCTTTTGTTAAATCGATAAACAAGGCTAGAGTATATTCATTATTTTCGAAACCATTCAAAATGTTATTGATTAATTCAGTTATTGCATGATATGTTGAATGACTCTTGTGAAAACCAAATTGTTTGTTATACAGAATGTTATTTGTTTCAAGATAGTTGTATAATCTATTGTACACAACACGTTCGAGAAGCTTTGAAAAACAAGAAAGTATTGATATAGGCCTATAGTTGGATGCTAAAGAGTCGTCGCCATTTTTATAAATAGGGACTACTCTTGCTATTTTTAATTTATCAGGAAAAACACCAGTTTTTAAAGATAAGTTGAATAATGTTAAAAGAGGTGATTCAATAACATCAAATACTGATTTCAAAGCACTTGCATTGATTTCGTCGATTCCTGGACTCTTGTTGGTTTTTAGTAAATTTAAAGCTGTTCGAAGTTCATCCGAGGATACTTCAAACTCATTCATAATTGAGTGTGTTTTTTTAAAAACGTTTTGTTTCCCGGAATTATTTTTTCGGCTAAATTTTTACCAACGTTTATAAAAAATTGATTAAACATATCAGCAATTTCTCTCTGTCAAAAATATCTGTGTTCGGTATACAGTATTTATGTTTAATTTCTTTTTCCCAGTTACTTCTTTAATTATATCCCATTTTTTTCTAGTATTATCTATTGAATTTTCGAGCAGATTGGAGTAATAGTTTTTTTTTATTTGTTTTTTTAATTTTTCAAAAGAGTTTTTGTATTTTTTATATTTAGTTTCATTAGTTAAAGTTTTATTTTTTTTTTAATTATCGTAGAGCTTTTGCTTTTTTTTTTGAAGATTTTTTAAGCTCTTTTGTCATCCAAGGGTTACGCAGGTTTTTATAATGAATTGTTTTTTTGATCTTTGGAAAAGCTTTTTCTTATTGTTTAAAAAATAAGCTTATAAAAAGATCATAAGCATTATTCGCATCATTGCACTCAGCTATGAGTTCCCAATTGGTTTTATGTATCAAATCGCGAAATTTTTTTATATAAATGTTATTTATTTGTCTGACGTAGGTGGTAGAGGAATTATTATCTTCAATAGTTAAGCGATTGATTATCAGAAAATTTGGAAAATGGTCACTTATATCGGATTTTATGATACCACTTTTAGTTTTATAAAACATGTAGTTATTTGTTATAATATTGTCAATGATTGAAGAAGTTAAGGAAGTTACACGCGTCGGTTAGTTTATAAGTGGTATAAAACTGTGCTGAAGAAGTGTAATTACAAAGCGCCTGACGTCGGAATCGCAATTTGTATTTAAAAGGTTTATGTTAAAGTCACCTGTTAAATGAATGTTTTTACTTGTCTCAGGTAATATGCGTTCCAGATGTTTTTGAAGTAGTTCGAAATTGCCATTGGGTGGTCTGTATAGAGCAGTAATGAAAGTATTTTTAGCTTTCTTTTATCTCAATAGTTATCGATTCGCAGTCTTCATTATTTATGCTAAGGTTTTCTATCTTTTTGAAAATAAAAGAATCTAAAACAAAAATACACACTCCTCCACCGATGCCCTTTTTTCTTGCTTGATGAGTTGATTTAAAACCCGATAAATAAAAATTTGAGTTTGAATCATCTCCGTTTTGAAACCAGGTTTCTGTTAGACATATTACACTAAATTTTTATTTAAATTTTCTAACATTATTTTAAAGTTTTCAATATTTTTATTCATACTCCTGATATTTAGGTTTAACAGCGAAAAAAAGTTGACGAAGAACTAAGAAAGGTAGAAGCCTCACTGACATTAAAATAATTGGTTTCGATTGAAAGTTTGTCAAAAATGTTTACGTCAGGATCAATGTCATTTGTTAAAAGTATATTATCTCTGTGAGACATATTTAAAATGTTTGGTATATTGGTTTCCGCCATGTTGAATGTAATTATTTTCTTACAGCTATTTATATGGTTATCATATTTTTATTTTTTATTTGTTTTAATAATAGGTTTATCGTTATTTTTAATGAAAGCGTAATTTAGATTAACAATTTTGTCATACCTGCAAAAACTCGAAAAATATGGAGTAAAAAACATCAACCTAAATTGGTTTCAAAGTTACCTTAAAAATAGAAAACAAGGAGTATCTTATACCACATCTTGTTCAAAGCTAGAAACAGTTAGTTGTGGAGTTCCTCAAGGCTCTATTCTTGGACCCCTACTGTTTCTAATCTATGTGAATTACATATACCGTTCCTCAGATATGCTTAACTTTATTCTTTTCACAGATGATACTACTATTTCTTACTCCGACTCCAATATTTAAACAATTTTTACCATAGTAAATCGTGAGCTGACAAACCTGGAAGATTGGTTCAAAGCAAACAAACTCTCTTTAAATATTAGTAAAACTAAATATGTTTTATTTCATAAGCCATCTAAGTCAGATAGTTTTCCTCTTCAACTTCCTCAGTTAGTCATAAACAGAATTATTGTAAAAAGAGTCGTGTCAATGAAAATCCTGGGAGTAATATTTGATGAACATTTTAATTGGAAAAGTCATATTACGCTCGTTAAAAACAAAATTTCTAAAACAATAGGCGTTATGTATAAAACAAAACACCTACTAAGTAAAAAATGCTTAAAAGATATATACTACTCTTTTATTCATAGTTACATTAGCTACTGTAACATTGCTTGGGCCAGTACTTGTTCATCAGCATTAAAGAAAATATATAAAAAACAAAAACAAGCCAGTAGAGTTATATGTAATATGCATAATTGTGCCCACGCCAAACCGTTACTCCGTGAAATCAAAGCTTTAAACGTCTATGAGTTAAATTTGTACCAAAACCTATTATTTATATTTAAATATCAAAACGACATGCTTCCTAAATTCTTTAACAATCATTTTTTAATTATTTCTCATAAATACTTAACGAGGGACTCTATTCACAATTTTAACTTACCTAAGTCAACATTAAAAAAAAACAGATTACTCAATTTCATATAGAGGACCTCGTCTATGGAACAGAATTCTTGACGACAAAATGAAAAGTATAACCTTAATACAATCTTTTAAAAATGTAGTTAAACAGAATTTGCTCGACTTAACAGATACAAACATACTTTTATATTTTTAGTTTTAAAATTTAATTTTTTTTTTACGTTACTTATTTGTTTTTCTTGCTGTTTTTTTTTTGCTTTTTACTTTACTTTTGAAGTCTTTTTATCTTATTACAATAAAGTTTATATTTATTTGCTTTATATGATGAGTATTTGTATATAGGGGAAAGCGGGGCAACATGGCGAACGTTTTGAAAACCCTTAGTTATTGCAAAACTATCAGTTGTGAAGCAATAATACTTTCTCAGTATGTTTATGTTATTAAAATCCTTCATTGCCTGCATGAATTTTCAGTTTGCAAATATAACAATTTGAAATAAATATAAAAATAAAAAGTTCATAAATTTGTCATCTGATCACGTGACCGGGGCAAGATGACTTATTATGCTATTTTTACCTCCAATTTTATAAAATTTTAAAAACTACCAATAACTCTGAATAAAGTAACAAAAAATAAACACAAATTGCAAAAAAACAACTTCTAAAGAAGTTAAAGTTGAAGGACACCATCCATTATGAGAAACCGAAAGTGAGGAATTTTTTTTTAAGCGCAAAAAGTATATTTATGCCTATAAAATTGCGTTAATAATATTTCAAAAAACCAATTTGTGTTTTAAAATACAAGATGCAAATACAGTTTCTTTTTATCTCAATTTTAAGAATTTTTGTTAAGTTGTTATATGAAAACCCATCTTGCCCCATTCGCCATGTTGCCCCGCTTTCCCCTAATGAGATAATGACACAAAAAAAAAATGTAAATAATTGTTATATATATTTTATTTCTATATTTTACTTGAAAAAACTTGTAAAGCTAATCTTTTAAATTTCTTTACTTTATTTATTTAATTTAGCAAATTTTATTTTATTATTGTTATTTTAACATCAAAAAAGAGAAAAGTATTATGTGTTTGGTTGTTGATGGAATATGATTAGTATTAACTTTCTAATTAAGTTGTTGCAGTTGGAAAGCTTTGGAAAAAACCCATTTAATTTCAACAGTAGATGTATACGTAATTATTTAAAAATATTTTGGAGAATTATTGTCCAGTTATTTGTCCAAAAAGTTAAAACTATGGAATATAGTTGAAACTAGCTACAAAAACAAATGGATAACAATGGAAGAGCAGCAAACTTTACATCAGGTGTGCAAGATGAGTTCTGTTTTAGCTTGATTAAAGTTACAAGGCAGCCCATTTAGCTGTGAACTAGACATTATTGAAGTAGATTAAGATATGTTAAAATGAAAAAAAAATCGAAAAATGAGGTTCTTTATTTTAGGGATACAATGTAAGTTATTGTCGCGGAGGTCTATTCTGTTTAAATACATGATTGTTGATATAAAAATACAAACCTCCATCTTATGTCTACCAAAGAACACGCTCATAACCTAGATGTTCTATAAGGAAAGTTCACGCAGCAATCTCTATCATATATGATGACTTTTATAGTTATTTTCCATTTTCAATAGTAAATAACTAACTGTATGAATTATTTTCATATATAATGCTTAATTTTTTTGTTACTTATAAATGATGAGGTATATTATTGATAAATTAAACAGAAAAAGATTATTAGTTTTCTACTTTTTTTATATTTAATGATAATAATAATTTCATTTATTATTATTTTTATTATTATTATTTTATTTATTTAACACCCAATTTACAAGGTAAAAAGAAAAAAATAAGAAAGTTATTTCGGATGACTTTGCTTAAAAACGTTTTCTTCCAGAATTTGCTTGAAAACTCCTCTTTGCTCTTTTGCATTCCAGCACTCTATTGCATACTTCAAGTTTTGTTCAACTTCGGAAGGAATTTTACTTTTAGAAAGTGGTATTTTTACCTTCTTTTTATTTTGAATTAGGTTTTGAAAATTTAATATCTGAAGATGGCATAGTTCCTGAATATCACTAACAAACGAATGTTGAAATAACGGGTGTTGCAGTTGTGAAAATATAATGTCTGCAGTTGTTTTGTTATTAAGAAGTCGAAGGAACAAGTTTAACTTATTTTGTTGAACACTTTTTGAAATTTCCTGGATTTTAAATAACGAATTCATATAGTTTTTACTATGTTTTGAAACATTTAAAAACGATTTTAGCGCACTCCTTCCAATTATATCTAGCTTTTTCATCAGACCAGGATTATTTTCACATAGCTCCATACCATAAGTTAAGGTGGGGACTGCCAATGATTTATATATATAGGAAATAGAACTGGGGTGGGCAAACCGGATTCCAGATTGAATAAGAGTTTGAACAACAGCTCTAAAGTTTGATGTTTTTTCATCAACATTTGAATAACCGAGTGAAGCAAAAACTGAATGTTTAGTATCCCATGTGAATCCCAATTTTAAACAATGCCTTTTTTTGTCAATATATTCACTTTTATTAAAATCGAAGTAGAAGGCTAAATAATAAAAATGAAAAAAAATGATTATGATTTTCAGAATCAGCATGAAAAACTAATTAAGAAAAATTGGTTAAACGATAAAAAATCTAAAAAAAGACGATTATGCCCCCCCCCTTCCCCCTACAAATAGCAATCATTTTATAATTGCAAAAACCAAAAATATTTCAGTCACGGCTCATTAACTTCTTTAGTTATTCCGAAGTCATTACAAAAAAATCATGCCTCAAACATTAGTAAACAACGTATTACTGCTGTAAACAACAAAAGCATTAAAAAGGTTATCTGTTCAAAACGTAGTAACTTTATAAACTCATACAACCACTTAACGACAAATTCGTTCAACAATTTTACAGTTTATCTTTTTAACGCAACAAACTTAACGATTTTTTTTATACGTTGAGTCAAACAAACCTGCCTTAATTTGTGGTTGCGAAACTTTTTTCAATGATAAACTCCCAAACTCCATGGTCTGTCCAAAAATTATTCCATTTATCGTAAAGACCGGGTACGATTTGGCGGTGGGGTAGCTATATACTGCAGAAATGACGTTAAATCTGCCATAATAAGTATTACTCCAACTGATATAGATATTAACATCATTTGTGTTAATTTATTTTTTGGGTCTAGTAAACTCCGCCTAATTACTTTTTACCGTCCACCGTCCTATCTTGAATCTTGATTTTGATAATTAGCAATCTCTGTGAACCTGTTTCTCGATTTGTCAACTTACCGAAAATTGATTGGGTTAACTACGTTTCGCCAATTGAGAAATGTCATAATCTTTTTTTAACTTTAGTAAATAATCTTGGTATGCACCAATATGTACTGGAACCTACTCGAGAAAATAATATTCTTGATCTTGTTCTTTCAAATATCATTTTCCTATTAAGTATTATTTCTGTTGAGTGTCCATATAGTACAAGCAACCATAACCATCAGTCCTTTTTCATATAAACACCTTTAATTATTATCAGCCCGAAACAAACTCTGAATCTTTTTACGAATTCAAAAATACAAATGTAATTGGTTTTATTTTTTATTTATCAAAAATAAGTTAGGACTTCGATTTATCTTTTTTTTTACAACTGAAGAGTATTGGAACATCTTTTCTGATCATCGTCGTAAAGGTATTGATCGTTTTGTTCCAATCTGAACAATATACCATGAGAAAAAAGTCGTTCTTATCCAAAGTATATTTATAAAATGCTAATTCGCAAATCATTTTTATAGAAAAGGTGGTCAATCACAAAGACCATCTTGCACAAAAAGACATTTATCCAATATGCATTAAAATGTAAAAAAGCCATATCCACACACCACAAAAATGTGGAACTAAAACTGGTCAAAGAAATCAACTTAAGTTTTTTAGTTACGTAAATAAAAATCTAAACAACCCCCCCCCCCCCAAAAAAAAAAATATATATATATATCCTCTAAAAACAAATAGCAACTTTACTACTAACAATGTTGAAATCGCGGAAGTGTTTAATAAACACTTTGGAAGTGTTTTTACCGTAGATGACGGAAGTTCACCTAAGATAAATACTTTTGTTAGTGAACATATTAAGATGGATTTCGTAGATTTTTCATCAAAGATAGTTTATCAAAAACTAAAAAATCTAAAACTTAGCATATCATTTGGACCTGACGTTATACCAAATATACTTTTAAAACGATTAGCACATATAATATGTATTCCGCTTTCATATATATTTTTAAGTTTTACGTTAAGCTCGTTACCAAAACAGTGGCTTCAAGCTACGGTTTCCCCTATTTTTAAAAATAGATCTACTTCAAATGCTAAAAATTATAGACCTATCTCCCTCACATGTACTAGCTGTCGTGTCATGGAAAATATTGTTAGTTCAAGTATCGCTGATTATCTTAATATAAATAATCTAATAACACGTCTTTTTATCCAAAAGATTTACGTGCACAAATTTTCTAGAGTCAACTAATGACTGGAATATAGCTTTAGACAGCAATTTAATTACTTACATGGTGTACATTGGTATTCAAAAAATATTTGACTCTGTACCTCATCCAAAACTTTTGAAAAAACTTGCAATGTACGGCATAATAGATAATCTGCTTCATTGGATATCAGCATTTTTTTCTAACAGATATCAAAGGGTTCTGGTTGGAAGTGAAATTCACTATCTAATCCAATCAGCATCCTTAGTGGAGTTCCACAGGGTAACGTTTTGGGTCCAACGTTATTCTTGCTATATATTAATGATCTACCCTCTATAGTAAAAGATCTTAAATGCTCTCTAATTTTATATGCTGACATTATCATGCTATATAGTTCATTTAAGGATGCCAATTACAGTCACAATCTTGCTGTAGCCATTTATAAAGTTTATCTCTAGTCAAAAAAATGGCTGTTAAAAGTAGCCAATAAAAAGTGCTTTGCTCATAGAATAGCACCTACTTCATTTTGTAAAGATATCAATTACAACTATCAATTAGGAGATCATAATTTAACTTGGTCTACAAACCCAAAAGATCTTCGTGTGACCATGGATTCTTACTTAAATTACAATAATCATATTTCAAATATTGTCCGCGCATCAAACATTTGAATATATCTAATCCTTAAGTGTTTTAAAAGTCGTGATCCACGTGTTATCGTTATAAAAGACCGAT